TAGCAGAAAATATAGTTATACGGAAAAATGCGGGTTTGTGGGCTTTGAAAACTCGATTTTGCAGGTTTGGCAGAAACTAATGAGTTTAGAAATTTGATCGTAAAACCCGATTTTACGGATTTTACAGTTTTACGGAAAAAGACGGATTTGTGGATTTGGCGGAAAACTTGATTTTGCAGATTTTACGAAGTTTACATGTGTTGGCGGGTTTAATAGGTTTTGATGGAAAAAAATGGTTTTATGGATTTTACTGAAGATACAAGTTTGCGGCTTTAACGAGAAACGCAATTTTGCAGGTTTGAAAAAGAACACGTAATTTTAGAAATTTGACCATAGAATACAGTTTTATAGTGTTGGAAGAACATAATTTTTGGTTTTGTTGAAAAATGTGATTTACAGTTTTGGCAGGAAATTTTAGTTCAATGGAAAATGTTTTTTACAGTTTCTACGGAAATTCTTGGTTTTGGTACAACAACGTGAATTATGATTTTGCGGGAAAATCCGATTTTTTATTTCGATAGGAAACTCTGATTTTATGGTTTTGACAAAAAAAAACTTGATTTTGTCGTTTAAATCAAAAGGTGTTTTGGCCTTTTAATTTTTGTGATTCAAATACTACGTCCAAACTCTATTTTTTAGTATTTTAAATATTCTAATTTTGAGATATTATAGGTTGTGTATCCAGATACAACATCCATATACTAATTTATAAATATTTAAAAGAACAATATTTAAACATTTACACCCAAATAAGTATCTGGATGCAAAAACAAACAAAGCCTAAGTAAATAGTGAAATCTTAATTACAAACAAATAAAATCTCTCTTGCACTATAAAACATAATATTTTGAAATATTTGTTACAAAAATTAACAGAAAATCCACTAATCAAAATATTTTTTTGTAAAATCAAACCTAAATAATTTTAAGAACGTAAAACCATAATTTAAATATAGTTTGTATAATCTATTGAAAAATTTCCGTTTGGACCACAATTTCAAATTTAATTATATAAGCTGATTTTTTTTTGAACAAAAATTTAATATAAACCGATTTTTGCTGTGGTCCAAAAATATTTTATGAAAAGAAACCTGCGCAAGTGCACAGGTCCAAAATCTAGTTAAATTGTTAAAACCTATAATGAAATCACTATGTACTGATCTGTGAACAAAATCTATATTTTAAGCCACATAGTTGAAATCTTTTATATATATGTTTACAAAGCTACAGAAAGTGTTGGGTTTTATAATTTATATAGAAGACTTTAAATAAATAAATTGGCCGCTGTAATACATATAACTGTGTATTAGGTGTTATAATAATCTTCTACCTATTAATTGACAATGTAGTTTAATAAAATATGCTGATTTATTTTAATTCTATTGGTTAAAAACATCATTCTAACCTAGCTAAATGTGACATGGAAATGATGATGCGTAATGATAATTAATTATGACATGGCATTTGCTTACACATGTGGATTATGACATGACATTTTTTATGTTTTTAATTTATTTAGTTCAAATAATTGTTTTATGAAAACTAAAAAAAATAAAATATTTAATTATTAATATAAATTGCAAACCATCCTTTTTTATCATTTGCATAAAACATATCTTCTACCTATTAATTGACAATGTAGTTTAATGAAATATTAGGAGTTTGGCCCGCAAGCATGTGCAGGCATAAACAATTTTAACTAAATATGATATAATTTTAACTAAACATTTTATTATAACAAAAGGCTCATTTTATTATGTTAAGGGGCCAAATAGGTCAGACCCGTGGATAGCTGGTTGAGCGGGTTACCTGCTGTAGATTTGCGGGCCAGGCGTACATATCTGCAAATTTTATCATCTTCTTCGTCTTCAATTAATCTTCCTCAATTTATCCAATTATTTAACCTCTAAATTCTCGAAGACTTCTTTGTATAAAACAAATATTTGAACTAAAATAAATTAAACACAGAAAATTATTGGAACTGATATATATATTCCAACTTCTCTTTGTATATTTGTTTAGCTTATGTTTCGTGTGGACAACAAAAATGGGCTATTTAGTTAAACATTGTTAGATTAATGTTACTTTGGATAGTCGGTGCATGTGATGAAGACAATTCTCATAATTTTTATACAATTAATGTTGCTTTGGATTATATTGCGAAAAGATAATCTCAAGAAGACTGTTAAAAGTAGATAATTATACTTCGGTTAGCTAAATGTGGTATACTCTAACTTCTCTTTGTATATTTGTTTATTTTCTGTTTTGTGTGGACAACAAAAATGGGCTCTTTAGTTAAACATTGTTAGATTAATGTTATTTCAGATTATATAGTCGGTGCATGTGATGAAGATATAATTTTTATACAATTTAACGTATACAAATCTGTGTATGTAATAAATAAATATAACATATGTTTTGTGCATGTGATAAAAAACGACAGTTTACAATTTATATTAATAATTAAATATATTATATTTTTCAGTTTTCATAAAATAATTATTTGAACTAAATAAAATTAAACACATAAAATTTTTTCTTCCATGTCATAATCTACATGTGTTAGCAAATGTCATGTCACAATTACATAATCATTTCCATGTCACATTTAGTTAGGTTAGATTGATGTTTTTAACCAATGAAATTAAAACAAATCAGCATATTTCATTAAACTACATTGTCAATTAATAGGTAGAGGATGCTGATTTGTTTTAATTCTATTGGTTAAAAACATCATTATAACCTAACAAAATGTGACATAGAAATAATGATGTGTGATTATGATGTAATTGTGACATGGCATTTGCTAACACATGTGGATTATGACATGACAAAATTTTGTTTTATGTGTTTAATTTATTTAGTTCAAATAATTGTTTTATGATAACTAAAAAAAAAAAATTAATTATTAATATAAATTGCAAACCATCCTTTTTTATCACATGCACAAAACATATATTATATATTTAATAATAATATATATCATTTATAATATATAAGTGATTATCGATTCCAGAAAACAAAAAGTGATTATCGATTATAATCAAGAACCTCTTATGGCATCAGATCACAATAACAGAAAAACAAGAAGAAGCTAACTTGGAAAATAAGAAGATGACTTTCTTAGTAATTCGAAAAAATCGATACTAAAAATTGAAAGGAGAAAGCGAAATTGAAAGTTATTTACCTGTATTCAAAAGTTTTATATATATTTTACCAGAATTCCATGTTAAGTTGAAGTCAAATGTCTGATGTCCATACACTTTAATTTCTGATCGATCGCCAACTTGAGAAGAAATCAATAGGAAATATAAATAGATCGAGACTAACAATGGCAGAATCGTTGAAGAAATAATGCTTGATGGCTAAATCACTTGATAAATTGAGAAAAATTAATTGAAAACGAAGAAGATGATAAAATTTACAGGTAATCCACTCAACCAACTATCCACGAGTCTCACCCATTTAGCCCTTTAACATAATGAAATGGGTTTTTTGTTATAATGAAATATGCCTTTTATTATAACGAAATGTTTAGTTAAAATAATATCATATTTTGCTATTAGGTTATATAGTTTTTTATACATTACAATAAATTAAAATATTTATAACAATTTACATATTATATTTATGTAATTATAATTTTAAAACTGTTTATGCTTGTACATGCGTACGGGCCAATCTGCTAGTTCTAAAGTATATCTCATTTTAAATTTGAGGTTCAAGATTAGGCATGACTACAAAGGTGGTGTGGCACAGCTGGGCTCGAACCTGTAAAGCCATAAACTACGACTTTTTAAAAAACTGATTTAAGAGTCTTATTTATTATTTGACCCACAAAGATGATTATATATATATATATATATTTTTTTTTTAACAAATGTTAAATTTATTCTCAAAATAAGTGTTTTATAGTCTTTTAATTAAAATAATTTTTTGAAGTTTACATTTTGTTAAAATCAATTAACAAAAAAAATATTTAACAATTCAAAACATATTAATCTTTTAGCAACAAGGAAAAAAATCTAAATCATCAATATATGAGGAACAAAAGAAGTACTCACTCAGTTTCACAAATAGTATCATTTTGACATTTAATTTTTGTGACACAAAAAGTGTCATTTTCTATTTTCAATGCAAATTTTAAAATTACATCTCAGTTTATTTCTACTATTTTAGTTTATTAACTAGAGACAAAAATTAATTTAGTATATTAACAAATGGTACAATAGAAATTTACAAGTTTTTTAAATTTATATTCAAAATATTAGAATGATACTTTTTGTGAAATACAGAGAGAATATGATAACATTATGGATGTATATATCAATTTATTGTTTCGGAATTTATATTTTAACTCTTTTCTTTGACCAAAAAAATATTATTTTCTATTTTATAAGAAATCTATTTTTATAGTATAAAAAGAGTATATACCATTGAAAATGTCTTAAAACTTTAATTAATTAGATCTCTAAATAATATTCAAAGAGTTTTTTTTAGAGATAAAATCTCTTTTAAGATCAAGATTATAACTGTTCTTTTCTTGAAATGACTTTTTAGAGGGGGTAATAAATTTTAAGAAATCAAAAATTAATTTCCCTGGCTTTAAAGATGATTCTCATTAAGCATTTTCTAGATAATTTTGTTATAAAATACATCAAGCATGATTAATATAATATAGTACTAGATATGAGTAATAAAGTAAAATTTCATTGGATACTACTCGACAAGATGACAGTAATGCCACAAGCAATTATGGCGTTTGAAAAACAAAACACAGAAGTGATTATGGCATCTTTACTAAAAACAGAAGTAATCTACACTGAACTAATCAAATTAAGTTATGTCATCATTAACGGTTTCTCTCAATCATTCTGTTTTATCGACACACAAGTGCCCACTTCCCATTCACACATTAGTCACTCTCTTTAATTCACTCTTTTAAAATCTCAATATCTTCTTCAAGAAAATCTTTCTCTGAAACTTGTTTCCAGAATTACAATGACGAAAGCGGTTTTGCTGGTGGCTCTCTGCTTTTTACCGATCCTAGCCATGGCGATTCGGCCGAACAAGAACCCGTTCGTCGTACGAGGCCGTGTCTATTGCGATACTTGCCTTGCTGGTTTCGAAACTTCTGCATCTACTTACATCCCTGGTACGTTAATCAACGAAAACATCCGAGATCTAATTAATCAGATTCGCAAATTCCTTTGTTCCTTCTTCATGTTTTTTGAATTTGTGGATCTGGATCAGATTACTTTTTTTCGTCAATTATGTGTATCCGATCGTATCAAAATGTATTGCTTGGTTTAGTCTAAATTAGATTGTGGTTTTTGTCTGGTTTACTTGGTTAGACTAATTGTTTCTAAACCAATCTAAGTATGTAACAGCTTCGTTTTCTGATAAGAAAGAATATGATTTCACAAATCAGTTTGGATATGTGATTTGATACTGTTTATATACCGGTTCGGATCCTGTTCCGGATTGATTTTGTTGAGATATCAGATCTTGTTCCGGTTCTGTTTTGTGTTCTTTACGTTCTATGTTTGTCTTTCTCCCTGTTGAGAATATAGGTGCGGTGGTGAGATTGGAATGCAAGGACAGGACAACAATGGACTTAAAGTACAGCCACGAGGCGAAAACCGATTCGACAGGATCATACAAGATCTTGGTTAGCGAGGACCATGAGGATCAGTTCTGTGATACAATGTTGGTTAGTAGCTCTCAATTACGATGCTCCAATGTCTCCCCTGGCCATGACCGTGCCCGTGTGACCCTCACTCGTTTTAACGGCATTGCTTCGGACGAACGTTTTGCGAACAACTTAGGATTTCTAAGAGATGCAGCATCACCAGGTTGTGCGAAGATCATGAAGCAATACCAAGAAACCGAGGACTAGTTTGCTCACAAAGCTTAAAACTCTGCTTCTGCATTTCAGCTACTATGTTGTGTCTCTTAGGTGGGATTAAAATGTACGTGCGGCTTGTATTTCTGTCATGGGTTTTATTGTAATCGAAATATATATAAAAAAACAAATATAATATTATCTCATTACGTAGGACAGGCCTATGCGAAGTGTTGAACGATCTAGTAGACCTAAAACTTTAACCCCAATTGGAGTTTCCAAACCGAACTGATATTTTCGGTTTTCAGTTCTGGTTCAATTACTTAGGTAGAGCCGATTGGCAGCATTTCAAAATTGATTCGATTACCGGTTTTACCGAACTGATCGGCTCACTTTTTTTTTGAAAAAAAAAAACATTAAACCAAAACTATACCAAACCATACTGAATTATACCAAATTTAGATAAAATATATTCTCTCCCTTTTTTGTTTATATGATATTTTCGAGATTTACACATAAACTAAGAAGATTTGTAAAAGATTTATTGTAATCTTTTTTATTAACTAAACTGGCAACAGAGGAAGAAGTAAAAAAAGGCACTGTTTATAATGGACTCGGGGAAAGCTTCAAGACCAGATGGGATGACAGCTCTATTTTTCCAAAAATTTTGGGATATCATAAAAGAGGATGTGGTTAAAATGGTTAATGACTTTCTACAGACATGGTTTTTTGACAAGTGTCTTAATATGACTAATATATGCCTTATTCCGAAGACAGACCGGCCAACTAAGATGACAGAGCTACGGCCCATCAGTCTCTGCAATGTATGTTACAAAATTATTTCGAAGATGTTGTGCCAGAGACTGCGCAAACTACTGCCCAATCTGATATCTGAAACACAATCAGTCTTCGTGTCAGGTCGACTTATTTCAGACAATCTTTTGGTTGCACAAGAGATGTTTCATGGCTCACAGACAAATAAATCATGTAAGAAGGATTATATGGTAGTTAAAACGGATATGAGCAAAGCATATGATCGGATCGGATAGCCTTTTATTGAACACCTGCTTCAAAAAATGGGTTTTGCAGAAAAATAGATTACATGGATGATGTGGTGTGTTGGCTCTGTCCAATATAAGGTCCTCATCAATGGTCATCCATGGGGAAATATAACTCCCAAACGGGGGCTTAGACAAGGGGATCCCTTATCTCCGTATCTATTTATCTTATGTACATAGGTGCTCATCTCAAATTTAAAAAAGGCAGATAAGGATCGTCTAATTACGGGCATGAAAATTGCTAGGGCTAGTACGGCGGTGACACATCTCTTTTTTCTGGACGATAGTCTTTTCTTTTGTAAGGCAACAAAGGAAGAATCAATCGCCTTACTTGAAATCTTAAAGAAATATAAAGGAGTTTCAGGGCAACAAATTAATTTTGACAAGTTATCTGTCCAAATTGGACATAAAGTGGACATAGCTACAAAGGCCATGGTACATACTACACTAGGTATTTCCAATATTTGGGGTATGGGCACTTATCTGGGGATCCCAGAAAGTATGGGAGGGGCAAAAATAAAGATTTTTAACTTTCTCTTTGAATGCCAACAGAAAAAGTTAATAGTTGGACAGCCAGATTAATATCGAAAGGGGGCAAGGAGATTCTTATTAGGCCAGTGGCAACAGCAGTACCAACGTACGCAATGTCATGTTTTCGACTGCCAAAAACATTAACCTCTAAACTCATAAGTACGGTGGCGAATTTTTGGTGGAGTACAAGTGGACACACACGAGGTATGCATTGGTTAGCATGGGATAAACTATGCAAGGCCAAAGTAGATGGGGGCCTGGGTTTCCGAGTTATTGAAGATTTTAACACGGCACTTCTCGCAAAACAGCACTGGCATCTTATGGACTATCCGGAATTCCTTTTTGCAAAAGTCTTAAGGGTCGATACTTTAGGAATGGAACACCGCTTGACCCAGTTCGGTCATATTCGGCATCGTTTGGCTGGAAAGGTATAATATCTGCTAGATCTCTGGTTATAAAGGGGTTCATCAAAAGAGTTGGATCAGGTCACTCCATATCTGTATGGAATAATCTATGGATCCCTGACTCAAGCCCGAGATCAACAATATGCAAAGGGTACAATCTATTGATTGACCCTTTAACATATTCATGGAATTTACCACTTATCAAACAGTTAATAGTTTCATAGGATATACCACTAATAACGGGAATTCCTACTACTAGGAATAGAAGACGGGATTTTTTGGGATGAAGTTTCACTAAAACAGGACGTTATACTGTAAAATCAGGATATCTTACAGAACAGACACATCGGATCTCCAGCGGCCCACCGATATATGGACCAGATGTAAGCAAGTTACATGCATTTGTGTGGACATTCAAGTGCCCACCAAAGATGAAACATTTTCTATGGCAGGTGATTTCGGATTGTTTGTGGTTACAGATACACTTCAAAGTAGGGGTATTAATTGTGACTCACAATGTAGCCGCTGTGGAGCGCTAGGTGAAACAATAAATCACTCTCTTTTCGAATGTCCACCGGCTGCTCAAGCATGGGCATTGTTAGTAATTCCCACACCTTTGTATGGGTTTCCGACAAATGCACTATTTTCAAATATGGAACACCTGTTCTGGCATCTACCAGATCACGAGGATATGAAAATAAATCCATGGCTATTATGGTACATATAGAAAATGAGGAATGATAAGATCTTCTTAAACATTGATCGAGATCCGAGAGAAGTGGTCCGATTAGCGATAGCAGAAGCGAGTGGATGGGATGAGGCACAACTCGAAATTCCACGGTTAGAGTCACCGAGATCCCTGGATACGTCTGCTTAGATGAATGGGGTAATTTGCCAGACAGATGGGTCGTGGAAAAAATCCATGCCAAATGCAGGTTTGGGCTGGTTTTGTCAAGGAGGTGGACTGAGGAAGACTTTGATGGGGGCCAGAAATGTACGAAGAAGTCTTTCTCCGTTACACGCAGAATTGGAAGCTTTGATATGGGGTATACATTGTATGCTTCATGCAAACAGATTCGAGGTGAGGTTTCAACCCCGACTGCTCAGAGTTAGTGAAGATGGTGTCACACCAGGAGGAGTGGCCGGCCTTCGCAATACATTTAGATGAGTTCGAGACCACTAAAGAGGAATTTGTTTCCTTCTCGATATCACATATATCACGCGTGCAGAATACAAAAGCGGACAAGTTAGCATAGAGTGCTCAAACATGTCTTCATCATCTACTTTATGTAAACTCAATTCTTCTGAATTAGTTCATCGAACCGTTGACAAAAAAAAAATATTATTATTATTTGTTTGGTTATCAATTAATTTAAAAGTAAAACAAGTTATTTATTATTAAATTTTACATTGATAACATCATATATTTAAAAAAAAAAAGTCTTAAAAGTTTCAACCTGGAAATTTATCCGATTTTAACCAAATTCGAACAAAAAAAACAAAAAACATCGGTTAGTTAAAAAATTAAATACTGCACCATCCGATATCCGACCGAACTGTAATTTATTTATAATCATATTTGAATTTTATGGAACCAAACTACTCAACCAACTGAATTACCCGAACCGGAAAAAAACCGAAACTAACCTAACTCGAAGGTATACCATATAGTGTTTCTTGTCATCAAAGTCCTCTCATCAATCTCCGGTCCAACAGGAAAAGAAAACATACATAACCTCAAAGTGCAATTATATATTTCCTTGTGTGCTTGGAAGTTATAGATATTTTTATAGTCATCACGGGATAGAACCGTTTTACTGACTCATACCACGAGGTTGATGCTCGTCCTCGGAGACATCCTCAGAGCCCAGGTGAGCACCGTTTGAGGAGGCACCGTCAGAGACAGATAAGAAGCTGAGTGAGTCTAGCGAAGCGGAAGCAATATCCTCCAAGACAGCTAGTCTTTTCTTGTCGTCCTCTTTCATCCTCTCCGAATGCTTGTTAATATCGAAACCCGAGTCATCGTTTCCACCAAACGCTGACTCGATTTTGTCCATGTCGAAGTTCTCCTCCATGATCTGCTTGATGTTTGGATCATCCGAGTAAACAAATTTGACTTTGTTACGTGTCTTCGGCTCTAAGAAGGGTCTCGCCACCTTATACAAAGAGATTCCGCTTTAGACGATGAACATGACTTTAAATTAAAGTGATCTTGAAGGTTTTTGGTTTACCTTCCAAAACGGTTCAAAGAACTTTGGTGGATTATAAAGAATAGCCAAAGATAATCTTTCTGGGTAATGATCTTGTAACACATGAGCGGTTTCTCTTGTAGTTCTTAACGATACATTCGCCAAGCTATAACCGTTGAAATCGATCATCCACACCATTTGTTCCTCCCCTTGTGGCAAATTTTGAATTGCATTCTCCATACAATACACAAGGTATCTAATCTGGCCTTTCACCGACTTTGAATTCTGTACAATTCATAGATATGAGATCAAAAGTAGACCAAGCACAAAATCTCTTTGCATTTGCATTGATGATTATGAACAAACCTCAACACTTGGTCTCATTATAAGAACAGGTCGTCCTTGTTTGTCCACACAACTCGATCTATATATCTTCCCTGTCTCTGCTTCATCAGCTATTTCCTCCTGTAAATATTATCCCATCAGTCACATGTATCATCAACAAGAATTACAAGAATGTTTTGTTCATAATTCAATAGTTACCCAACATATTTCTTCAGGTTTGTATTGAACTCTCCATTTCAAGGTTTCTTTAAGCATCTTAGCAGCTTTCTTGACATGCCAGTTCCGCGCCCTTAGATACCTCAAAACCGCCTCATTCGAACAAAACCTCCAGAGTTTCTCCGGCAATGGACCTAGAAGCTTTCTAACTTCCTCAATCTGAAGTTACAAGAACTCTCACAGATTTGATTTGAAGCCTTTCTCAAAAGTAAGCTAAAACAATGACTAAGTTAGAGTTTTACCTTTGCATTCTCTTCTTCAGTAAGAAGAGGTTTCAAAAACCCATTAGAGATTGGATCAGGGTTCATAACTTAGGAAATTTGATTCTTGATTCACTACAAAAATGTGAGATTTTCAGTACCAAAACTTGAAAAGCAACAACTTTTACATTAACTTTCGAAATTCCAGAAGATCAGACAAAAGACATTAAGAATCTAAAACTAAGTAGAACCCAAGTTGCTAAGACAAATTAACGGTTCGGAAAATCAGAAATGTCGATCTTTAATCTCACCGACCACAATCGTTAATGTCGTGTCGGGAGGATCTTTGTCTACACCATAGTATAGACTTTCAAATTCAAATAAATTGCCCATTAAATTCACAAAATCATTAGAAATTGGATTAGGGTTCATAAACTAAGAAAAATTGCTTCTTGATTCCTTACAGAAATGTTTAAATTTTTCAGAACCAATATACTCCAGAAAGAGAACAGTTTATGTTGTAATTTCTGAGATTTCAGAAGATTAATAACACAAACAACAGTCATTAAGAATCTGAAACTAAGTAGTACCCAAGTTGAACTAAGACAAATTAACGGTATAGGAAATCAGAAATGTCGATCTTTAATCTCACCGACAACAGTCGTTAATGTCGGGTCGGGAGGAACTTTGTCTACAAAAAGTACAGATTTCAAATTCAAATGAAAATGCCTTGATCAGAAACCTGGAGCTTTGAAGAAAGAATCGAAGCTAAGGAACTAACCTTTGAAATAATATTTTGGGAACGGAAGCAAAGAGAAGAGCCCAGAAAAGCATTGGAGTTGAAGTCAAACGAACAAAAAAAATGTGTAGCTAGAAAACGACGAAATGGATATTCGAATATTTTAATAATAATGTACATAAAAAATCTTTAGTGATCTGTAATAGTCTAATAGAGATCTGATCTTAACATGTGACAAAAAATGGAATACTCGATTATATTTTGTTCTTTTATCACCAACTTTTGTTTTCAGTAAATTTTTTTTTTTAAACATTAAAAGATATTAGAGCTCAGTACGAGGCTTCTCACATCCGAATATTCAGAAGAGTGTGAATATTCACAACGCTAAAGCCAATTTCCTCACAGCTGTTTTCCACGGTGCGCTTAAATATTAATTAGCATCTGTGGTCTACCACTATCCGGTACTAATACACAGCCATGGACCTATTCTTTAACCTCTGAAACACTAAATAAAGACATTAGTAATAAAAAGAAAGCATATATTTACAAGGATATTCATGGGATTACCTCCCAAGTGTGCTTATTTTATGTCATTAAGCTTGACTTTGATGGTTTGAGGACTAGTGAGAAAAGGTTGAATTTGTGTTTTAGTTTGACCATCGTAATAATTAACCATAATAAATTCACATAAATTACAAAGATACCTCTTCACTTTCTCATATTAAAATAGTTTCCATATGATAACTTCATATGTCTGACAATAAACTTATCAGTTTCTCTTTTATATGTGTTCTTGGCTATGTCGGAGTTCTCAAAGATAAGCGATCTCTTCGAGGTCCAATTGGAGAGTAAGAGTTAGAGTTGCAAAGAGATTAACTGAATTAGTTCATAATAGTGATGATATTCTATACTTCATTCTGATTGGTGAACATGTAAGTTTTTTTGGTTTATGTTTCTCATTTTCTATTATCGTTAATGTCTACATGGCTTCATTCAGCATTTTTTCTTTAAGGGAACTCGTATACAAGCAACGGTTGAGTCTATCCTATTTCTTCCAGTTTATGCAAGTAATGTTAATGAGGGACAGTGGAAAATTATCAAAAACTTTAATGTACTTCCTGCATACACCGTTAGACGATTAACCTCCAATATTTGGAGAATCAAAATTTTCTCAAACATTGATATCTCAAATGAAATTTATAGAGGAGATTATCCATTCACACAATTCGTTGAGTTTGATGATATTTTGACTGGGAAGTTTCAAAAGAATTTTTCATTTGGTAAGTTCTCAAAACAATCATATAATTTACAATTTTGGTTATTTAAAATATTGATTTCTTTCTTTTTATGTTTGTTTTCTTTGTTTAAATTCAAAATACCAGATTTGGATAGAGTGGTGAAGGAAGTTAGAGAACTCGATATAACTAAAGACCGGACTTTTGAGTCTTTGGCAATAAAAAAAAGAAAGCAAGAATCAAGATTTCTTTAACCGATTCCACGTAAAGCACAATTATATATGGATATACATTTAAATAGTTTTTGGGATTCTCTAATGTTCTAACCTATTTAAAGTGGTTATAAATTGGAATGTGTTGCTCATGGAAAATTGGCAATTGAGTTCAATGATATGTGGTATTTTCATAGCGATGGATTTGTGATTTGTGTTATAAGTTATTGGTGTGCCATTAGGTAAGGATCTCAATCTACTTTTTTGAAGACCTAATGTGTTTAATTTTTACTATATATGCAATGAGTATTTTTTTTTGGATATTTTGTTTACATGGATATCATGTTTTTGATTGTGATGGAATATCAAGATTCCAGTTTGATCCTGATATCCAAGAGGCTCATGAGTTGAGGGATGAAATATAAGTGTATAACTAAGTGATTTTGATTTAGTATATTCTGTCTATTGTAAACTAATGATTACTTTTATATAGATTAGAGGATAGCGAAGCAGAAGATGACGAATACAATCATGTTTCTTTTTCATAGCTCAGGAGTTATACATGGACTTGTGCTAAGAATGCGTTTCATGTACTGGATGCTTAGATTTATTAAATGTATTTCTATTTCTTTTGGGATATTATGTTATTTTATACGTTTTGTTTTATTATTTTGTTTAATTACAATTTATACTTTGTATTTGTGTTTTTGTATTATAGACGGGTAATTTTGTTTGTGTATTTTCAAATTACCATTTGGATGGTTAGTTGTATTTGTGTAATTTGAATTATTTAATCCTCCATTCATATTGATTTCAATATAATATTGTATTTAAGAGAATTTATTTGGTGTTGTATCGTTAATTTCAGTTTTTTACTAAGTTCAGAATTTTATTAGATTTTTAGTTCCAGTTTGGTCTAGGTTAATTGGCCTTGGGCGTTGTTTTCTTTGAATATATATTATGATTAGGTTTTTCTTTAAAATATTTTTTCCTTTATTGTTATATAATGAAGAATTCTCATTTATGTTTACGATATATTCATTTGAAATATTCAAGATATCTATCGATATCAATATATGTGTATTATCAGATCGAAAATGTAAGTATATGTGAAATATATATTTATAAATTGATGATTCATATATATCAATATCAATATATGTGGATTATAGTTTTAAAAATTTAAAGTATGTGTATTATAAGATAATCAAAATGGTGATTCATATATATCAATATAAAATGGGAATTTCATATATTGTAATATAAAAAAAGAGATTTTTATGTATAGTTTTCTATGTGTCGAACATATTGATTTTTTTTGTTCATATCTTCAAAAATGTTAAGTAGTTATGTAATGTATACGGAAAATAAATGTTGATAGATATGGATCTTCACTTTTGTTAATATCCCCATGATTGTTATTAAGATGTACGTGAATTTTTATATAGGTAATTTATGAACGAAAAACTAAAAACCTTAATTTCTATTGTTATAAATTGATATCTTTCTCAGTTATATTTTATTTGGATTATATGTAACATAATATAATATTAGCTATCGATCATAGTTCCCTCTCTTTACATGTATCATGGTACTTCATTTTACTTTGGTGCGTATTCTACTGTCGTAACTAATTAATTTCTCATGCAGATGTTGTCTGGTTTTATGTTTGAGTTATTGATTTTGTCTGCCAATATTCTATTGTATATTTTAAACTTTTTCTTTAGTTAGTATATCCTCTGTATATGTATATATTGACTCTTTTGTTAAATAATTTATGTTAGTTAAGCGAAACACTAATTTGGTTAATTGGTAATACCCTAATTTGTTTGGTTATAAGTACATCTCTTCGTCGTTTATTCTTGCTAGGAAACTTCATAACTTGATATAATCTTAGTAATTTTCTCTTTTTACATGCATCATGTTTTTTATGAAACTATATGCGCAAGTGGTTATAATCGATCTTACAAGTGCGTACTACCTGTCTTACATTGTGTTTGTAACAAGCGGGTTTGTGAAATTGAGAGTGGTGAAGATGATAGTGATATGAAAGATGAACATGGCGTCGAGTGGACCGATGGCCGTGTTGATGATATGGATTTTGATTATGAATGTGATAAAGATGGAGACGATTGTGATGATGATGATGACGATTTAGATGATCTTGATGAGGAATTTACTAGTGATGATTATAGTGATGATTCTCTTAATGATTATTCTTCTGATGATTGTGATGTGAATTCTGGTGATGATTCTTATTCTATTGAAGAATTGACTGATGATGACGAAGAGGATCCTCACGAAGACGGTTCGGATTACGATCCCCATGTCGATGGTATATCTGGTGATCCTACTGATGATCATGTGCAGGATGTAAAATACGGTGTTTCTTCTATGATAAGTGCTAATGAGGCTTCTACCGTAGGTGTTGTTCATCCTGTAACACCTATGGTTTGTTTGAGGGTTCTATTTATGTAAACATGTTACATATTTGAACACATTTTACTCATTCAGCTGGTAAAAGATTGGAAGTCATTTTATGTGATGAACATGTTGGTTTTGCACTTTGTTTTGTGTTTTTAATTTTGATTTATGAATATGGTTTGAATATAGTTTTTTTGTGTGATAGGGTATCAAAATCCATGAAACTGTTTCGACATTGAATCATGACGGATTCTCTTTGTGTTTGAAATAGGCATTATCATGCTACTAAGCATCTCAGTAGGATTTTCTTAATAAATACGACTTGTGTTGATAAGTTTGTTCATCCTTGCAGTCGTAACTTTTTTGAGCTTATGAATTTTCAAAGAATTATCGATCGAATCTAGACTGATGATTTGATCTTTGAGGGCTTCTGGGTACGGTGGTTAGTTTTAATTTTATTGATTTGATCTTCTTATATGTCTTTACAATTCTATGTATTTGATCTTATTTAAGTTCTTTGAATCTGTTATACTTTTCTGGCAGATTTAATCAGTCAATTCTAAAGCACAACACAGTTGAAAAATACATTTTCCCAAAACGGTTACATGGAGTATCTTCGATGAGTTTCATCGTTGTGGATATGTCCTTTGGGGGCTCCTGGGTACGGTGGCTCCTATGAGCTCATCCTAGAGACTTCTAAGGGTTTTTCTTGATGTTTTGGCGCTATGCTGGGTTTCTCTAAGGATCTTGACCTCTGGTGTTTTCTTCTTTTTATATATCTCTTATTCTTTTTTTTTTGAACATTTGCTTTAGCTCTTTTATTGTTGTAATTGATTTTCTATTTATACACTGTTGGTCACTCCGTCCTACTCACTCTGCCAGTTCCGTCCATTGGTTATATCTTTGCAAGGAGCGAGGTAGGGTCCTTTCAGCCAACATCTCTTGTTGTTATTCGGTGTGGATCTGTTCGGCCACGAAGCCTATCGAGACGTGCACAGATAGGTCAATATTGAACAAAGACCTTTTGTGATGTGGTGGTTTTTGGATTGATCAAGTTAAACAAGTCCTAACAATTATATTTATGACGTGAAATGAGAATTAAAGTATATTCTCCAACTTTGTAATATTGATAAGATCGTCATGAAATTCTAGGAAAAAAAGAATAACAATATGATTTAAGAATTGTTTTATTTCTTGTTTTTGTTTTAAATTAATGTTGACTTAGGTTTTCAGTGTTAACTTTGATACTAAATATCTAATATAAGCTCATATCTAACATGTCTTTTTTTTTTGTTTAACAAATAATAATATTATAAGATTTTATATTTGTTTTAAAAATATATTAAAAATATTTCAATTCAAGTGTTTTTAAAAATTCAATTATAAAAGATT